CTCAACATTTTTATGTTGAGCATATATTATCAGGGAAATGCAAATATCACCTCCCACACCTGTTAGAATGGCTACTATCAAAAAGACTAAAGATAACAAGTGTTGGCAAGGATGTGAAGTAAAGGAAACTTTTGCACACTATTGATGGGACTGTAAATTGGTACAGCCATTATGGAAAATAGTATGGAGGTTCCTCAAAAAATTAAAAGTAGAACTATTATATGATCCAGCAATTCCACTACTAAGTATATATCTAAAAGAAATGAAATTAGTATGTCGAAGAGGCATCCGTATTTCCATGTTCACTTCAACATTATTCACGGTAGCCAAGATATGGAATCAACCTAAATGTCCATCAACTAATGAATGGATAAAGAAAACGTGGTATAAATACACAGCGGAATATTATTCAGCCCCACATAAAAAGAAAACTCTATCATTTGCTAACCTATTTCTCACTTCATTCTCACAGGAGCTGGTTCTTACAAAGTAGATATAGTCACTTCCATTTTGTAAATGAGAATATTGAGGCTAAGAGTTTGGTTTTTGCCAGAGGTTTTGTAGAAGTGGTGGAGCTAATATTCAAGCTAGGCTAGCTAACTCCAAAGCCTGAGTTCTTTCTTCACCACTTCTCCTTTCCCTTGAGACTTTCCTGGGACTTTGGTTAGGGGCTGCCTAGGCTTGTTAAGCTGGTGGATCAGTGGATACAGGAAAAGTGTCTCAATCACAGAAGTGTGACAGTCAGGGAGAATTGATTCATTACAAAACATACCCTCGGCTCAGCCCCTATCCCTCCCCTCTCCTGGATCCTTCCTTCTTTTGGGGAAGGATTTCTCAACTTTGGCTCTGTTAACTGTTTTAGGCTGGATAATTTGTTGTGGGTGGTTTCCCTGTGCTTTGTAGGTTTTGTAACATCTCTGGCCTCCATCCACTATATACCAGTAACATCCCTCCCAATCGTGACAATAAGACACATTACCAGACATTGCCGAATGGCCCCTGGGGTGGGGAATCCCCCCCCCGATAACAACCACTGTTTTATAGTGACCAACCATCCCCCTGTGCCTGGGACTGAGGGCCTTAGTAGGATCTCTGAGGCATTTGCCAGGGATTCAGTGCTAAAACCCGGGTAATCAACTGGCATGATCGCTCGCCCTACAAGTCAAGTTTCATCTCCTGGTTAAATTAATGCTGTGCTGGGAGAGGGGAATTGTGTTGACTGTGCGGTTGCCCTGGCAAGCCTCAGTTTCTCTCAGCTGTTGCTGTACCAAGCATATCTGCCTAACACTCCCTTCTTCCCCCCTACGTAGGCTGCCAAGGGTGTACGGGAGGTGTCCTACTTCAGGGAGGCTGGCTGAGTGACCGTGTGGGTCATTACGGGACTGAAGAAGACCAGAGTGAATGCTGGGGTTGTGTGTGTGTTTACCTAAAAAGCTGGCTGGGGTAGCCGGGAGGGTGCTGGACCTCAGAGGGCCCATTGGCACTGCTGGGTGGGCAATGTGGACCCGTGTTTACGCTGGGAGCTGATGGATACCGGACAGCAGCGAGGTTTGCAGTTCTGTGTTAGCTTAGCCTATGTGTATGTGGTACGTGTATTTTAATTTTTTTGGTATTTTGAAATACTTTCATGAGTTAATCTGACAACTTGTCAGGGACATTTTCCTGAGAGAAACAAATAAAAGAAAAATCTCAAAAATGGATTGCTGTCAGGATTATATTTGCGTGACGTTGAGGATATCTTTTCAGCGGTGATAAATATTTTGATTCTTTGAAGATTTACAAAGCACTTCCAAAATATCATTTGTTCCTCAGCAAACGATCTTGGTGTCATTCTACGCTCCTTTACAGGATGAAAACAACTGAGTTCTGAAGGTGGTAAGTAATGTGCTGAGGCCGAATGCCAGGATTTGAGTCAGGCTCACTGAGCTCTGTGTCCTGTCACCTCGATACTCCACCAGGAGAGCATGAGTCTTGCCTGTATGTGCTGAGTCTGTGCTGCTGTAAGTTTGAATGGTAAGATGACAAGTGTAGACATGGCAGACTGTGAATCAGCTCCATTATCAGTGACTCTGATGATGGTGCTTCCTCTTCTCAGTCTTGCAGCAAGTAGAGGATGAAGCAGGTTCCCTGAGAGCTGTGCCCAAGATCTGTGGCCACCTGGCACCAAAGCACTGGCCTTACGAATATCTGGATGCATTTTCCTTGTGCTCTTTGACTCTGGTGTGGTGTGTGTGATTCGCTGTGTATGATCGTTTGTGGTTTCCTGGATTATGTAAACCAGTGGCTTTTGCCAAGAACTCTCCATTCCCGGAAGGTCCAAGCTGGTTCCCTCCCATTGGCCGACTTCCTTTCATTTTATTGAGAGGCGTATCTTTCAGATTGCTGAGCAGGGAACACTAACTGCCAGTGTCTCTTAGGAGTGAGGCCCCTGGAGTTCAGGGACACCCAACCAGCGACAATGACAGCAGACGAGCTGGTTTTCTTTGTGAATGGCAGAAAGGTGAGCAAGAGCAAGTAAACCTTTGGTTTGGTGTGCCTGCTGCTGGGTGGGGATGTTTGTCCTCTGGAAGAGGCACATCTGCTTCTGTCTCTTTCCTGCTCCCTCTTACTTGTTCTCTTCGCTTTCTCTCTCTCCCTTCAAAGGCTTTGCTGCATTTTGGTAACCTGGGGGAAGAAGGCCTTCTAGGGTGAGAGCACAGGCAAGATTCTCATGGGGCAAAGGAGTGAGGGGAGGGAGGCGAGAATAGAGGCGTCTGTGAGCTCCCCGTCAACTCTCTGCGGTAGCAGAGACACTGACGCTGAGCTGAGCGAGAACAGGGGACAGAGTTCTAGGTGAGGTTGGAGGTCATCCGCCACACCTCTATCTGTGTTTAGTCAAATATGTCCTAAACTTACGTTGTTCTCTTTACGGAGAGGAGGAACAGGAATGTGCTTTCTTGCTGCTATCAGGGTATAAGATGTACACAGCCCTGCATTCTGGTATGCTGTATATATAGGTATGACAGCCAGTCCTGATTCACTGTGTGGGGGACGTATACTGACACCTTGTGGCGAGCCGCCATATTTCTTTTTCATAAAGGGCGTGCTCTGCTCCCTCTTCCCCTCTTATTTCTACATACAAGTGTTGCCAATCTCTTATTCACTTGGATTGATTTCATTGGTGTACAGGGATCTAGGGAAGGTGGCACAGGCGCCAGTCCCTAGGCATGCCGAGGGTGAGACTCTTTGCCAATTTTAATGCAGGTGCAGGGAGAGAGAGGGCAAGCGCATTGCAGCGTCTCCAGCCTCCATTCGCCCTCCCCACATCACTGCTGAGATGCTCACACCTGCTCAGCTCCCAGCTTGGGAATGAAAGGACAGTCAGAGAGTAGCGTAGCTGTACGGTGTAACTGGCCCCATGCACAGTGTGTGATGGATGTGCGCCGCGGGCACCCAAAGAAGGACAATTTTATTTGTCTTGCTATATTGGCACTTTTGCGTTGAATTGAGAAACTAAGTGACTTTTGAGGTAATTTTTCAGAACTAAAGTGTGCTTCATAGGACTCCTGGGACTTAAATTGTCAGTGTAACTGGTTCACTGTGAAGAAATTTCGTGAGCGTTTCAAACCGGCGCCCCAAAGGCTGATGGATTCAGTTTGAGTGGTGCCAGTGGGAGGCGCTGGGGTATGGAGTTGGCCATGCTCTTCCGGGTTCAGAGTTGTCTCTCTGGGTTGCTTCCTTCTCAGGGTTGGCTCTGGCAACAAACCAAGGGACGGGGCAGCAACACTCCCCTGCTGGTGGTAGAAAGACTTTCACATCCAACATTTCAAACAACTTCTTAGCATTTTGCAATTGCATTGTGGAGACTTAAGAAACAGTTGTTGAGAAATGCAAATCAAAACCACAATGAGGTATCACCTAACCCCGGT